CTTTGTCAGGGTTGCCAATCACTAGAGCTAACAGGACAGGTTCCCTTTGTAAGGGTTGACAGTTACAAGACCTCACAGGACAGTTGCCCTTTGTCTTGGTTGAAATTCACTAGAGCTAACAGGACATGCATCGTTTGTCATGCCTGCAAGGCACTAGAGCTAACAGGACAGGTACATTTTGCCAGACCTGCCAGTCGAAAACCTAACGGGACAGGTGCCCTTTTTAGGGTTGATAATCACTAGAGCTCATAGAATACTAGTAGGTGCCCTTTGTCAGGTTTGCCATTCGCTAGCGCTAACAAAATAGATAACCTTTGTCAGGTTGACAGGCATTAGAGCTAACAGGGCAGGCACCGTTTTTCAGGACTGCTTGTCACTAGAGCTATTTAAATAGGTGCCCTTTGTCAGGTTTGCCAGTCACTAGAGCTAACCGGACAGGTGCCTTTTGTCATGATTGCCAGTCACTAGGGCTAATAGGATAGGTAATCTTTGCAAGGGTTGAAATTCACTTGAGCTAACAGAATAGATACCCTTTGTCAGGATTAACATTCACTTGAGCTACTGGACTGTTTCTTTTGTCAGACCTGCTAGTCGCTTAAGCTAACAGGACAGGTGCCCTTTGTCATGGGTAACATTTACAAGAGATAACAGGATAGGAACACTTTGTCAGTCCTGTCAGTCACTTAAGAGCCTTCACGTAGGTGCCATTTTTAGGGTTTCCAGGTACTAAACCTAACAGGACAGGTACTCTTTGTCAGGCATGGTTGTCAATTATTTTTATTTATACAAAATTTGATTCAAAAATAAAAGTGAATACAATTTTGTATCAATAAAAAAATAAATGAAAAGCCTGCTTGTCACCTAAGGCAAATTGGGCAGGTACTCTTTGTCAGGACTTCTTGTCACGAAGGCAAACAGGACAGTTACTTTTTGTCAAGGTTTTCAGTTTTACTAGTGCTAACGGGACGGGTTCTCTTTCTCAGGCCTGCTAGTCACTGGAGCAAACGGGACAGATTCCCTTTGTAAAGGTAGCCAGTCACTAAAACTTACAGGACAGGAACCCTTTGTCAGGACTGCCAGTTAACAGAACAAACAAGATAGGTACCTTTTAGTCACTAGAGCTTACAGAGAGGTACCTTTTTCAAGCCCTTGACTAGAGCTAACGGGACACATAGCCTTTGTTAGGCCTGCAAGTCAATATATCTAACATGGAGGTACCATTTTCAGGGGTGCGAGTCACAAGAGTAACCAGGACAGGTACCCTTCTTCAGGCCTGCTTAAAACTTAGTCCAAACAGGGCAGTTACTATTTATCAGGCCTGCCTGTCGCATCCTTTGTTATGCCTGCCTGACTAGAGCGAACTGGACAGGTATCTTTTGTCAAGCCTGCTAGTTACTAGAGCTTACATGTAGCCCTTTAATTGTCAAGCCTGCTGGACTATATATAGAGCTAACAGGACAGGTACCCTTTGTCAGGGTTGCCAGTCACTAGAGCTATATAACAGGACAGGTACTCTTTGTCAGGGTTGCCAGTCACTAGAGCTATATAACAGGACAGGTACCCTTTGTCAGGGTTGCCAGTCACTAGAGCTATATAACAGGACAGGTACCCTTTGTCAGGGTTGCCAGTCACTAGAGCTATATAACAGGACAGGTACCCTTTGTCAGGGTTGCCAGTCACTAGAGCTATATAACAGGACAAGTACAGTTTGTCAGGATTGAAAGTCACTAGAGCTATATAAGAGGACAAGTACCCTTTGTCAGGGTTGCCAGTTACTACAGCTATATAACAGGACAGGTACCCTTTGTCAGGGTTGCCAGTCACCAAAGCTTACAGGACATATATCCTTTGTCAGGAATGCCTGCTTGACTAAAGTGAACGGGTATCTTTTGACAAACCTGCTAGTCACAAGAGCTTACAGTGGTACCCTTTGTCAGACCTGTTTATCAGTTGAGTTAACAGGATAGGTACCCTTTGTCGATGTTGCCAGTCACTAGAGCTAACAGGACAGATGCCCTATGTGAGGACTGCTAGTCACTAAAGATAACAAGACAAGTAGCCATTTGTCAATCCTGGACAGGTACCCTTTGTCAGGATTGCCAGTCACTAGAGCTAACAGGAAGGTACCCTTTTATCACACCTGCCTGCACAGAATTAACGGAACAGGTACCATTTGTCAATCCTACTTAACTAAAGGGAATGGGACAGGCAGGTCAGGTCTGCAACTCACTAGCGCTTACAGAATAGGTACATTTCTGAAGGTTGACAGTCACTAGTTTGTCAGGGTTAACAGTCCCTAGAGCTAAGAGGAGAGGCACCCTTTGTCAGAGTTGCCAAACACTAGGGCTAACAGGAAATGTACATTTTGTCAGTCCTTTCACTTTTAGCCACAAGATGTAACAGGAAAGCTACAATTTGGCAGATTTGCAATTCACTAGAGCTGACAGGACAGGTATCTTTTCTCAGTGTTGCCACTCACTAGAGCTAACCGGACAAGTTCCCTTTGTAAGAGTTGCCAGTCCTTAGACCCAACAGGATAAGTACCCTTTGTCAGGATTGCCAGTCACTAGAGCTAACAGGATAGGTACCCTTTGTCAGGGTTGCCAATTACTAGAGCTACGTTGTCAGGCCTGCTAGTACCTAGAAATATCAGGACAGGCACCCTTTCTTAGTAATGCCTGCTTGACTAGAGCTAACGTGACAAGATCCCTTTGTCCAACCTGCAAGTCACTAGAGCTTATAGGGAGGTATACCTTTTGTAAGGCCTGCGAAGCATAGAACTTACAGAGAAACCACCATTTGACAGGCCTACTTGACTAGAGTGAATGGGACAGATACCATTTGTCAGGCCTGAGGGTCACTAGTGCTTACAGAATAGGTACCCTTTGTCAAGGTTGCCAGTCACTAGAACTAACAGGACAGCTCTCTTTTGTCAGAGCTGCCAGTCACTAGAGCCAACAGGACAGGTGCCCTTTGTCAGGCCTGCTAGTCACTAGAATTAACAAAACAGGTGACCTTTGTCAGGCCTGCTAGTCACTAGAATTAACAAAACAGGTGCCCTTTGTCAGGCCTGCTAGTCACTAGAATTAACAAAACAGGTGCCCTTTGTCAGGCCTGCTAGTCACTAGAATTAACAAAACAGGTGTCCTTTGTCAGGCCTGCTAGTCACTAGAATTAACAAGACAGGTGCCCTTTGTCAGGCCTACCAGGTAGTAGAACTAACAGGACAGGTGCCCTTTGTCAGGCCTGCTAGTCACTAGAGTTAACAAGACAGGTGACCTTTGTCAGGCCTGCTAGTCACTAGAGTTAACAAAACAGGTGACCTTTGTCAGGCCTGCTAGTCACTAGAGATAACAAAACAGGTGACCTTTGTCAGGCCTGCTAGTCACTAGAATTAACAAAACAGGTGACCTTTGTCAGGCCTGCTAGTCACTAGAATTAACAAAACAGGTGTCCTTTGTCAGGCCTGCTAGTCACTAGAGTTAACAAGACAGGTGACCTTTGTCAGGCCTGCTAGTCACTAGAGTTAACAAAACAGGTGACCTTTGTCAGGTTGCTAGTCAGAGATAACAAAACAGGTGACCTTTGTCAGGCCTGCTAGTCACTAGAGATAATAAAACAGGTGCCCTTTGACAGGCTTGCTAGTCACTAGAGTTATCAAGACAGGTGCCCTTTGTCAGGCTTGCTAGTCACTAGAGATAACAAAACAGGTGCCCTTTGTCAGGCCTGCTAGTCACTAGAGTTGACAAGACAGGTGCCCTTTGTCAGGCTTGCTAGTCACTAGAATTAACAAAACAGGTGCCCTTTGTCAGGCCTGCTAGTCGCTCGAGTTATCAAAGAAAACTCGGGCCCCTCCTTGAAAACGGATCTCTATTAAGTTATGATATGTTCTAAGGATGAAGCTTTAAAAGTCAACGACTAACACCAACCCACCCACCCACCCCATCGAAATTGATTTCTCACGTTTGGGAGAGTAGCTACGATGTGTTTTTTTTTTTTTGATCGCCTGTCAATAAAATTTTGGGAAGGAAATATTTTTTCGACTATGGTGGACCACCCCGACCCCTCAAGGAAAAAAAACTCCTTGACCCGAGTCTGTACCCATTACTTTTCCCCTCCTCAACCTTGTAATCTCTATATGGTGCACACTGCACACCCAAGTTGAATTAGGTGCTTTTTCATGCACATCCACATAATTTTAATTATAAATTCCTTACCCAACCCAGGCTAACGTATGTAGCTTAGATAATATTATTTTCAGCTGATCAGCATGTTTAAAAAACCAGTCCACTTTCTCACATCCTTATGTACAAAAGTTATACAATTAAATTATAATTTTTCTATATCACTATCATTAACAGGGAAAATAGAAATGAAGTTATTGAAAATAATTTTGTACGTTTATATATCGGTAAAGATATCAATGATTTAATTATGTTTTAAATTATTTCCTCGAATTGTATTTAATTTTACATAAGAATCCATGGTTGAAAATGAAACAAATGCCCCTTCCTTCTTTCCTTCCAAAAAAAAATCTGTGAAACGGTGAAAGGAGGGGGTGGGCACTGGGCACCCTATACATGTATGTGTATCACCTGGAATTTAATGTTTATATATAATCCACAATTTATATATCCGATTATAGTTCATATATGATCAGTATCACTTTTATAACATTTAATGATTAATTACTCGTTTTTTCATTGTTATATTACAGTAGTAATTCAGTGGCATATACACCTGTTTTGTACTAATTTTCAGTACATGTCAGTTTCTCAGTTTCTAAAAATATCTCCCTGTGTTTATAAATAAACCTTTCTTTCACGGAGTTTTCCATGTTTTTACCATAAATAAAAGCATGTCAATAAAATTTCAAATTTTACTCAGTATAATTAACCAATTACTAACGAAATGCCACCCCAAAGCAAGTGGATTACCCGAAAAGGACGCTTTATACACACAATGCTATCTTTATATTGTTTGCAATACTTTGTGACGTCACACATTTGTCGATTTACATGCGCTCAACCCTAAAACTCGACTCCAACCTTCCATTTTCTTTGGAAAACAACTGCAGAACAATTAATCGTTTATTTGAGCATATTTTGGTGTCTGTGTTGCATGGAAAGCTTCAAGATTGTCTACAGATGCACAGGTAAGTTGGGGATACCGTTTTAACGTCTGAAGATGCTTGTGTTTTGAAGTGATATCAATGATAAATTTCTATGTTTAACACTGTTAATCAAAACTTATAGATTTTCCTGGCCGGCGCTCGCTGCATTCTTGAGAGAAAAGGTCTCTGTTTTTGTACCGATTTTCAATTGCTAACATCAGTGTACACTTGTAGAGATGTTAAACTTTATTTTGGTGTATATTTAGGGGTGTTTGATTTTTGTTTACAAGGGGAAATCCCGCGTGCAATCTGGTGAAAATGTGTCCACGGCCATCCCTTGCTACCGATATTAATGTCGATTATATATTCCAACCTAGCATTATCATTTCCCCGGCATATTTATTCGCACTTGTGTACAACCACTTCTTGGCGTTTTCTTTGTTCGCAGTTTAAGCAGATATCTTCTTGGTGGCGTTTAATCAGTTAGTTTGGCGAGGTCAATTCGATGTCACAGAAACATTCATTGTTACATTGGGTGCATTTTTCTTGGATGCAAGTTGAAGTGTTTATGCATAATTTTTCTTGTCTGTGAACCAATCCATTTCTTTATTGAATATGTCGGGGCGCCGCAGATTGGAGGCCATTTATATATACTAACTGTTTAGTGATTTTTGCATGGTGTTTGTACAAGCTTTTCATCTTCAGTTTTATTGCAACAAAGGTATTGAAGAACAGGTGTTGTTGGTTTTTGAAGGAAGGCAATATTTGGATGAAAAGGTATTAACTTTATTTGTGTTTTAACAAATGCTTTGTATGCTCTGGATTTACAAAAAGTAATTTAAATTAATTCACTTGTGTTTTTTGTAAAATCTTTATAAAATGACAATTATGAAAACTAATCATAAAAAGGGTTTAAGCTCAGACTAAAACTGAAACTCTGGTGACTGGAACACTTTAGACGATTGTAAAAATCATGTCAGATTTTTGCATTGAAACTTATTGAGATCTATAGTCTGTTATTATCATATAATTCTTTTAATTTTAAAATTTCTAACCTCAGAGTTGTAATTAGTGTATACCTGTATATTGTTTTTAGATTGTACTGTTGCATAGACCTACTTTTACATGAAATATTATACAACGTAAAAGCCTTAGAAATAGACTTAAAATCTGAGCATATGAATAATTGCAGATTTTTCATGATTCCATCACTTGTTGAAGAGGAAAATGAGGGAATTGCTGGAATTTTAGTCTCAACTGTCGAGTGTACACCATACATGATATGATGACAAATTATATGATATGATTTAAAAGATTTAATTAATATCTGCAATTTCTCATTATTTGGGGAAAATATTTTAAAGGCCAGTTCAAAACTTAAAAGCTTACTTAAAAATATTGTTAAAGTATGCTTACAGCAACCCCCCCCCCCCTTGGAAAAAAAAATTGTCAAAAGAAAAACATGTACTTGTATCTGCAGTAGTCAATACATGTGCAATGAAACAGATTGTAAACAGTTTGATAGTCTATTTAATGCAATATTTACTGTCAGTGATATATTTTAGGTCAAATAAATAAGATTCATGTTGCATAAATATCTAGGTCATGATTTGGTTTAAATATGTTTGACATAAACAAAAATATATACTATCATATAGTTGAATGATATAAGCAAGTAAGTTGTGCACATGTTTCAATGCATTGTATTCATAATCGTAAACTTTGAAGGAAATCTATGTCATTTTATTGTAGTCATAATAGCCGAATCTTACACTTATTTCTTTTATAACATCTCTACATTTAAAATTAATTTGTTTAGAAGAAAGCGAAATTGTACCAGTGAAGCATTAATTGATATGAAAAGGATTTTTTTCATCCAGAAGGTATAATATTGTGCATTCCAAACATACATGGTGAAAAAGGTAAATTTGGCATTAGACTAGCTAAAGAATTCAAGACTTGCAGGTAAATCCCTGAGAAAAAAAACCCCAAAAAACAAAATCAATCGAATTTTCATCCTGCTTTATATTTTAGTAATCATGAACACATAATGGCTTTAATTTGCGGAACTATATTTCTTTGAACCATTATTGATGAACCTGAATCTAGCAATTGAGAGAAAAAAACAAGTCATGTCAATGAAGTCTAGATAGATTTTGGACAAATATAATTATTGAGTCAAGCTTTTAAGGAGCTTGACATAAGAATTTCTAAAATAGCTACGTACTGGAAGATGACATAGAGAGAATGGCAACATGATGTATTGATTGAGTTCATCCCATTCTGATTCTGATGCTTTCATTTCCATACCTCCAAGTAAATGCTTAGAATTGGCACTGGTTGAATTATACTGCTACATTTTTTTTAGAGAAAGAAAGAGAGAGACTCTAGTTCTAATGCAATATAAGCAACAGTTCTGCTTACATTTGTCAGAAAGAGAGAGAGAGATTTAAGTTTGTAACAATATTAGTAACTGCTTCTGTTTGTCAGAGAGGGATGCATGAATCGAAATCGAGAGAACGAAATATTTGGAAGCAATGATGCTTTGAGAGAGGAAGAAAGAGAAGCTTTTAGTATTCTTGATATATTATTGTTTGTAAACAGCATATTCTCAGAGAGAGATAGGTTGGATGATTGTTTGGTTTTGCATCTTTTATTTTTCACTGCTGTTGAGATACTATTCTACCAGTTGCTGGTGAAATGGATCTCAGCTTTGATTGAGAGAGAAAAAGAGAGAGAGAGAGAAAGAAAGAAAGAAAGAGAAAGAAAGAAAGGAAGAGGGGTTTTGTCCTCTAGATGCATCAATATCAGCACAGATTTCAGTTTGATCTCTATGCAATGGTGCATACACGAAGTTGTGTTAATTTTGAAGCTTTTTACCACTTGTGATGTATAAAAAAAATGTAACATTGCATTCACCCTCTGTGAGAGTATAAAATAAAATGTGGAAAACTTTAATGCACAAGATAATGAATTTTTACAGTGAAGTTTCCTGTAGTTGCTACATGTAATATTTTATAAGCTTTATACAGAGAGAAATGGACAGGCATATTCAAGTTCACTTGAGTGGGATGATTCATTTGCTATCAAATGATACTAATAACTTTTCCTGTTGGTTTTGTAACAGTCAAACTTTTAAGTACATCAATCCTGAAGATAAGTCTGAATTTTTACAACATGTAAATATATTAAAGGCAGGCCTATCTATCTGATTTTCCTTGATAAAGTTGTCATTTTTTATTGTATACACAAATAGGTTTTTTTCAAAAGGAGGGTAGTCCATTGAGGGGCCATAGGCTAAGTTATAGCCAAAGGGTAAATGAGATTTTGTTCATATTTTTGCCCCAGAAGATGTGTTTGCTGGGGGGTAGGGGCAAGGGGATGAAGTTGTCCACAGAATCACCCTTTTAACCCTCCACCCCCACCCCTACTTCTTGAACACATCTCGAGATCAGGCTGAAGGGGCTATCCTATTTCCCCCCCCCCCCCTTTCCTCCTTTTTGATCGCACTTGAAATCTCTCAAACTTTTTGAAATGCGATTTAAAAGATAATTATTAAGTATAAAATATTCATCTCATAAGAATGTTAATTACAATTAATGTTTATAAGTGCTTGTCTTGAAATCTTAACTGTAAATGTTATCTAATTCTCATTTCATTCTGATTTTTGTCTTTTGTTAGGTAACAAGGGCATTTAGTACAGGGATATATAAAATATTCTAAGTTTTAATTGTTGGAGGAATGAATATAATGCCCAGTAATGCATGTTTAGACCTACAACAAGGGAATGTGTGCTTTACAATTGTCACTCAACCATGGAACCAGATACATTTTTATGCAGCATTGCATATTACAATTGATATTTAAATTTTTTTCCCTCCACACAGTGTTTAGTTTCTTAATCATAAATTTTTCATGTCCTTCATATGTGCAGACAATTTTTTTTTTCATAAACCCAATGAGGAAAAAAAATATGTGTAATTTATATTGTAGTTCTAAACTTAATCAAGTTTACTGTTATCAGTATACACATTTGTCAGATTCATCATTGAATTTAGGTTTATATATAAGTATACTTGAGAAATTCAAATGCATCAGATTTTTTTATCTGTCATTTTCCTTAATGTTAATCAATTTAAACAAATCCTTAAATGTCTGCACTACTTTTCCACAGGAAACAAAAATCCCGCCAGCATTATGCATGGAGCATTGGGAAAAAATTGATTTCTGTAAAAAAAATTGTTTTCGAATAAGATTTTTTAATCGTGTTTAGCGATAATTATGTAAGTTAACTATTCACGGCTCATACTTTTATCTATTAGTGAGCTAAACTGGATAATAACAGACTAGCGTAAAGAATCAATAATTAAAAATGAAGGTTTATATAACCAATAATTTGTTTTGAAATAGAGAAGTAAAATGTAGGGTATATATGTCCTTTAGACAGTTTAATACAGTTGCAGTTAACATCAAATTCAAAATCATTTTGTTATTTAATTGTCACAGATATGCAATGATATTTTTTTTGGCATTTCTTAGGTGACAAAATATAGCCTACATTTGATGGAATCAAGCTAAAACATATTTTACTTTAGATAGGCATCAGTTGAGGAAAGACTTTTTCTCAAAGAATTCATCTTAACAGTTACAATGTCAAGAATTTGAAAATTGAATACCCTAAATATTAAAATAGTTTTGAAAAGGGCCCGAAACCTCAGAAAAAATTGATTTGTTTGAACTTGCTATTGATTAAATTACTAAATGAATTAATACTTGATGAGAATTTAGAGAATTAAGCACTCATTATATCCTTTGCCTCCATGATATAATTCCATATGAGGAATTTATGAGTGAAATTCTTCAGTTATGGTTTTATCAATTAAATGTAAAAGAGCATATTAAAGACCACTTTAATCTGGGTCACTCAAGTATCACCACACCTTTGAGGAATGACCAATGGCAGGCACTGCGAAAATCCAGATGGTGGGGACAATTTTTGCGATAAAAACTTTTTTAGATAGGATATCCTGGATTTCTTTGAAAATTAACCCATCCCCCATCAACCCCCTTCCGTTTAGCCACCCATTAGAGATTTTTGGATATTGTGCATTTTGCAATGAAATATCTGAGTCAAGGAAATGAGGATACCAGTATATATTCCAAAATTCCATATAAATTACCAACTCACCCTCCCCCCCCCCCCTTCCTTAGCTAAACCCATTAGAAAATTCAGGTTATGTGCTTAAATTTGTAATGCCTTTTGGGATATGTGCTTGAACTTTATTAGGCCCATTTTGCAGTAAAATACCTGAGTCAAGGAAATAGGGATATTCCAAAATTCCATAAAAATAACCAACCCATCCCCCTTCCTTTGCTAATATTACCCCTTAGAAATTTCAGGGTATGTGCTTAAATTTGTAATGCCTTTTCCCTATCTCCATATGTATATACCTAAACAGAAGACTGCATTTCGTTCTTTGTCCTCTAACTTTAGAAGTGAAGTGAAAAATATTGAGTTTTCTATGGGTATAATGATGTGCAAAGCTTTTTTTTCATTGATTTTTCATGCTCTTCTAAAGGAAGCAAGTATTTGTAAATAATGACTAATGTAATTCAGAATAGATGTATGGTAATAGTAGCTTTCCGTGGCCTCTTAAAGATTTTGTCACATACAAAGGCGACCTCAAGGAAAACCATGCCATAGAAGAAGTATTAAAGGTAGATTTTCACATGTGTCATGTGCGTGTGTTCTTTAAAAAAAAAAAAACGGAGACTTTTAAATAAAGTCAGCTGTGAACAAAGACAGAAAAATGATGATTTTGTACCCCCACAAACAAAGTGTGGATTTTAAGCTGCCTGTTTTCAAACGATTTACCTGTGCTAAACCAAACGACCTATCTTCAGTTACTAACCTAGTCGATCTAGAGGGAGGAAAAAAAAAAGACCTACACACATGATATTTGTATTTCTGAAACAGCACAAACATTTAAAATCTTGTCCTATTAAACATGTTATCTTCCAGTACGGTTGATATACTGTTAAATATAAATCCACCTTTAGATCGCGCCTGGTCGCTTGCTAAATTTCTTTGTGATTGGTAAATCTTCATACGGAAATATTCATGACTCGTTGGACAGGTTAGTGTATATTCATTTTGTTTCCATTTGAATTTTTTTTTTCTCCTCAAAGATGAGGATTCTGAAAGTTGAATGTCTAAACTTGTGATATTCAGAATATTAGTTTGGTTCTAATGTCACTGTGTTCTGGTATATCTTAACTAGTAGAAACAAATTATGATGAAACTTTTTGTCATTATGACTTTTATTTGTTTGAGATTTGTCACAGTTCCTAAATTGTACTTAAAACCATGATGAAAGAGAGAGAGAGAAAGAGAGAGGGAAGGGGGGAGGAAAAGTTGAACAAAGGAACCTTTCCTTTGTCACTGAACTTTGAATTCCCACCAACTAAATTTTCACTAAATGTTCAGCAGATTTTATCAGGCAAAGAACCATCAGAACAATAAGGGGCAATTGATTTCAACATATAAATTACAGTTTCGATATCTGTGTTGGATTCAATGTGTCTTATGTCCACGGTACATTGCATCTTACCACATGTATAGATATATGTTTGATTTACTCCAAAACATGCTAATTTAAAAAAGACTCTGATGAAAAACTTGATCTCCTTGAATTCCAATTCTTGCATAACTAAAATGATAAATATTTCCACCCATCCTAGCCTTATATTTCTTGACTAATATCATTTATATATTATCCCTCCGAAAGAACATGTGTCTTGTAACCACTTGTTGAGCAATATTTTTTAAAAGTTGTTGCAAGTCATGAAAAGTGTTGTGCAGGTTAAATTTCAAAGCAAACTCATACATCACTACCAGAAGTCTTGTTTAATCTTTTTGTTGAAATACGAACCATGCAGACCAAATCTAGGAGAAAAATGATTGAAAAAAGCAGTTTTGCTGAAACACGTCTTCTTTCTTAAGATCAGTCCGAAAAATGTTCATTTTGCAGAATCTGTATCTGTTTTGATGCTGTTTGAATCTGTCTCTTTCTTTGAGTAGCATGATTTCTCTTTCTGTTTGGCTTAGGAAGCAATATTCCATCGTACCACAAGCCTTTCAAATATTCTGTCAAGATTTTACCCAGCTGAAATCATGATTGTACAAAGCTATTTGATGGAGAGAAAATTCGCTAATGTGTTTAATTAGAATCACTTACACAAGGAACCTCTTATTTTTATAAAAATACCACCTGTTACTAACATTTTTGAAAGCCCTGGTACCTTTTACCATTGCAACTGAAATTTTACTGAGCTTTTATCTAGCAGACAGGTGAAGTCTTGACCATTACAGTTAGTTTATATGGCTGTAAAAGTATGTAATTTGTATTGACATAAGTTACTGACCATATAATGGTAAAGAGGAGTGGCAATTTTCAGTTGTTCAGGAATTATAAAGTTTTTCTTAGACTTTGTTTTTTTGAGTTGTCAGTATTGAATGCATTGGTTCCATTTTGTTCACTGAATTGGAATGGGTGATTTTTAAGGTCTTTGAGTTTTGATAATGGGATGTTGAAAAAATAAAATTTGTCATAAAGAATGTTTAACACATTATTGTAGGTATGGTAATTTAATAAGCACCTTTAGTATGGTTGCACTGAAGCACAGATTCGATACACAAGACATTATGAAATAATTTGAATTCATTACTTGAGAAAAAGGAAATATAAAACTTGCAATTGTTAAATGCTCAGTTTGAACAAAAAATCCCCTCTCTTTTTCTTCTCTCTCCATTAGGCACACACACACATCACATCTGCTACTGAATTGCCTGTGGATTGAACACTAGACAAAAATAAAAAAGAAAAAAACATCTGAAACATGATGTTTGAGGTTTTTTCAGCTATTCAGAAATGATGGTTTCACCATTCCTCTTTTGTGTACAGCATATAAAAAGGGGAAAAGGATAAAAAAAAATGTTCTAGAAAAACATGATTGAATTTTTTATGACCAAGAATTATTCACCATAGCAAATTCCTTAGTTATTGAGTAATATTTGTGAAATGATATTAAGAGCAGTAGTTTATATTGAAAATACATCAATGTGTATGTGTGAATGTCAGCTTTCTCAGAGTACTATAGTGTGTTCGAAAAATTACCAGAATATTCCAACTCTTGGAATCGGATGTTTCATAATGGCATTTTTTTTTCTCCAAATATTAGTAACCATTTGACTTCATTCAGACAATTGGCCAAGCCTATAGCTCCGGTACAAGATTTTAAAGTTGGAGAGAGAATATATACATGTATTTACCTGTGTGGTTTAAGATATGGAAATAAAAGATTGTGTTGTTAGTCATGTGTTGGTTAATCGAGGTCACATTTTTAGACGACACACAAATTTTCCTGTTTATTTCACAGCAATGGTTTTATCCGTGACTCTTTTATTTACCTTTAAATGTATGTGCAGGTCATTATATATGTGTGGAATAAAATATTTTTCTGCTTCTCAGATAAACATATTGATTGTGTTTAGAAAAATTTTTCTTTGTTTCGCTTATTCTCAATTTCAGTGTCATGTGAGCTTAAGGGTTAGCTTTTTTTCAAAAGTATTTTGTCATGAAATGTTTCTTTTGTTTTTTGCATTGTTCTCTTTTTCCCTGTGTTTATAGTAATAATTTCCTAGGAAGGGCTTGTAGTGGAAATCTGTCTGCTTCACCACATAGATTGGGAAATGAGTCAATGTTAGAATTGAGTGTGATTTGTAAAACTGTCTTTTATTGATTTTTGATTTCAGAGCTTACAAAATCACAAAATATATGAAACACCTGAGTAGTTTAGGGGCATCTTTGCCCATTTGAAGGTTAGGAATAGCATGAAAACTAGTATAGAGAGAGAGATAGGAAGGGGAGGAGAAAGAAAGAGAGAAAAGGAGAGAGAGAAGGGGGAGTAATTTTTAAAGTTATCTTCTTTTTTTCCTTCTGTGTGACACTTTATGTACTACACTGTCTTTAATTTATGACCAGTTTTCACATTATGATTTAGTTTCAATTTCTTTTTCATTGAAATTCACCAATAAGATTAATATAAACTTATAATGCTTGTTTTTATCAAGTTTATAAGTATACACATGTATATATATAGCTATGTTGGAAATTTGACTGACGCAAGTCAATTAACATATAACTTTCATGAATTGAAAATGGTTTTATTGCTTTATTGTAGTTCAGTTAATATCATGTTTCATGGTAACAAAATTTGTTTGAAAAACTTAAGATTCACGAGCGATGTAATGTCAGTATATAAATACCTGTCATGAATCATTTATAAATGTATATGCTGGAAATGTATATCATATATGAAGGATTTAATACGAAAGGTTACTTGTCATTTCAATCCGTTTTCTTATAACTTTTTTACATTTTTTTCCAGACAATGACAAAAATGAAAAGCCTTAAAAAACGCAACACAACTACCAGTCAACGCTAGCTATAGTCTCCGTCCTCTGCGAATTCTGCAATCGCTTGTAAGTATATTGCCAACAAATGCAATTAATCGTCATCTATAGCTAAGGCTTGAAGATTTTCCATTGCCACAGCTAGGAATATTTAAGCTTATACAAAAGACATAGGGTTAGAAACAGGCAACTACAAAAATCAATATAATGTTGTATTTGCTGTCATCATGCAGTTATCAAATATTCCTTATCGTGTTGATTAGGTCAATTGCAACAGCTCTTACATCATTACCTCCCTTGATCCGCGAGATGTAAGATTTTTGTGTAGGTAGTTCTAGCAGGATTTTTTTTATAATCTATAAAAAAATATTTTTAGAAGTTTTTCGCCATTTTCTTACAAAGAACGATGAGACATCAGTAAAACTGGATGTTCTTTTTGTATACACAAGGACATGCAAAAATGATGAATAGTTTTACTGAAGTTTTGGGAAATAAATTCAAAACCACTTATGTCAGATTTAATAATAGACATACAATGTTTAGAGAACAAAAACGCATTAACAAAGTTAAAAACATTGAAAAGGAAAACCAAAAAATTGGATTTTCTCAATCAGGAAATAAGAGTGTGGCCTTCTTAATTATGTCGTTTTCAAGTTAATTTAGGGAAGTCTATTTATAATGTTTTGTGTTGTTTGCCATTAAACACATGATGTAGATGAAGACATTTGATAGATCTCTTTGCAGTTTATCAAAATTCCTGAGAGCCAAGCTAGGATGTTAAATTCAGGGCATATTAACTCATGCACACACACACACACACACACTTCATAAGAATTTTCCAGGCACATAAAAGAATTTATTTTTATATGCTGTCATAGAGTAGGTAGATAGAGAAAAAAAGGTTCATTTATAATTCATTGTTTGCCATATGCCTGTGTTAGTTTTTTTATCCGTTTAAACATGACTCAGTTTCGACATGATTTCACAACACAACTGATAGCTGTATCTGAACTATAAGCAGTTCCTACTGTATATAAACCTTTTGTGTGGGTCTATTTTGAATTGTTCAGTCCAAGTGAAAATGATAGCGGATCAATTCAAGTTTGTCAAGCTTCTACATTAAATCGCCTGATGGCCGTGTTTTAAACAGACGACATCAGTAGTTTCTCGTTAACTTTGGAGACAAAGAATTCAGTCGTAAAAACAAACTATTTAAAAAAAGAATAAGATCCCAGCTCCCATTTGAATAATTTTTTATAATGTCCTTGGTTATTGATTTGTAGAATATTGAATTCGGTAGATTTTCTCCACTTTTCAAAAAGTGTAGGAAAACAAAAGGTGTGTTTTCTCCTGATGGTGTGTTACCTGTGGACAGGTGTTGGACATCCACAAGTATATTGATTGACAGATGGATACCATCTATTTCATTGTTATTATTATACAGTTTTACTCTTTACTCATGTGTGACAGTGACTTAATGTTGAATCACCTGAATCTAAATAGTCTTAACTTTTTGTACATGACAGACAAAAAAATCCAACCCATAGTTTGATTTATACAAATATGCATGACAAAGTTAAAAGTAACTGTTGATGAATGATTTTAAATGTTCATTCAAAAATAGCTAAAGAACGACGATTTTCATGTTGTCAGCAACTGTAATGCAACTTGAAAATGATTTTGAAAAAGTTTATACATTAAAATGAGCAAGTTTTCCTTCTATACTTTAGAAGGTTGACAAAATTGTGTCAAAGAGAAGTACAAGAGACTTGAAAGAGTGAACTAGCTTTTCATTTCACAGATGGCATTAAATCTAAATATCTCGAGATACAGGAAAACCAAAGAGATGTAATTGTCAAGGAGTTTTATTGATCAACATGAGAAATTGACAAGCCATGTATGACAAACATCAAGAAAATTTATTGATCAAAGAAACAAATACATGTAATTTACATGATAGATGATACACTAGAGCAAATTCGTAAAAATTATCGCAAATATTATTCCGAAATGATTTTATTGCTACATGTATGAATTAGAGAAGGTTTGAAAACCTGATATAGGTATAGTTCTAAACTTGAAGTAAATATGATACACAATACACTACTATGTAACATAAGTAAGTTGAAAATTATTAGTCAGCTATATGAATAATTCCTAGATCACACTAAAGTTGTTGAATGACACAGATCCTACTAGGATTTAAAATGAACAAATTCAATATCAACCCAGAATATCAGTTTTGATTATTCTATTTTTTCCCCCCTGCATTTTACGCCATTTTCACCTATAGTATAGTGACTATAAATAAGTATTAACCCAAGCAATTGTTTTGTCTTATCTGTATGCAATACTGTAGGTTAGTATAATCTAGTGTAGTATTTCATGTCATGGCGACATAATTTGTTGTCAAGCCTCTTTGACTAGTGTAATTTTTTTCTTCTCTGGCATCCTGCTGTGCTGCATTTTTGAGAGAGGTATAGAAAATCTCCTTCAATTGAACCATCTTTGCCACCCAGATTTTGGAGAAATATTCTCTTTGATTCTTGATACTCTTTTGTGTCTTTGGAATCAGATGAAAATTTACAAGCATTAGCAGGCATTCTTTGAACTGCCATGCAAAAGGTTATTTGAGACCACCATAAAATGTTAAACAAATTTAAGGCCGTATGAACCCTTTTTTTTTGGTCAAATATATATGCTCAGCAGCAAATCTCGAGAAAACCACAAAATGAATGCACGGAACAGCCAGTCTGTTCTAGGATATTGCTAATTCTTCACAGAGTAGAAAGTTTTGATGGCATTGGTAGGGAAAAAAATTGGAAGGAGAGAGCAGAAGAAAGATAGAGTGGCAATGGTATCATGCTATAAATAAATTAATCCCGTTCTGTATCTATACTTCTTTAACGGTTGCCCAGAATCAATATGAAGCCTAGCCGATTATTAATGGCACACATACAATACACAGAGTAAAAAAGGAATATCTTTTTCCACTTGAATGTTGAGCTCTAGAGTTGAGAGAGGCAGGGAGAGAAAAAATATGAAAAAAAAAAAAAACGGACTGCAGTTTATTCCGTTGTGAAAAATCCATATTGTCACTTCCAGTCTTTGACTGTATGTGACAATTGCTGGTGGAGAGATAACAGATAGCAAGAACAATGCACAGATCAGCAGCCTGGAGAGTTGCTTTAATGGACTGAAATTGGCCAAGTCTTTGATTATATAAACCTTAGATGAAATTAAATGCAGGAATTAAGGCATACATGTATCTATTGGGATTGATCTATAATTGACTTTAAGCTATAGTCACACAAATTTATTAAGATATAAAAAAGTATATCAAGACAGTTGTTTTTTGAAAAAAAAAAAAAAGAATGAGATTGTTTTGAAGAAGATTTGAAAATAATGTAGACACTTTAAAGTTCAACATTTATGGAAAGTAAATACTAATGTATTTAAATGTAAAGATCATAGACATTTCAAAAATGAGGTACTGAATGGATTATAATAAAAACATTAAGTGTCACAGTCTGTGGTTCAAAGTGATAATTGAAAAAAGACTCATATTTCTTTGTTTTTGTTCATATTGACACTTATAAAACAATTTCATTTGATTTTCACCTATAGGTATCATGGAAAACAAAGAGAAAAGTTCACCACAACCTAGTCACAACTTGTTTGATAATGCTGCTGCCAGCAGCTTATTGGGTAAGCTATTTGGAGGAAAATATTCTTGCTAAAGGTTCATTGTTAAACTGTTTGATTTGATTATCATGTCTGCCAAGTGTATAAAGCTACTTGGGTAATTATATTGCCTTCTTGCTTTGTACATATGTATAGTAATACAGAGTACAGCCATTGTACATTTATAATCTACCAGATGTAAGCTTACTGCTTAAAGAAAATATTTATGATGTTGAGAGCAGAGAGCCCTGACTCCAAATACCAAAATAATGGAAGAAATACTGATACAAATGATATTTCATATTCAAGTATTTTTCTATTTAGTTTCATTTGATACTGATGAAAAGTTTGCACTATGAAAAATTCATACATGCTTTTGCACAAAAATCTAATGTAAGCAGTATACAGTTCCAAAACTAAAAAATGTAGTATTCTATTGTGGTACAAGCATTTATTGTTTGTTAAGTAGTTTAATTATGGCTCAAACACAGAGAGCAGGAAATATTGATGCTTTCACAACCAGACGATCTTTCAGTTATGTAAAATATAATCATTGGAAACATGTTTCACTCATGATATTATAGATAAGTAAGTAAAATCCATCAGTGTAAAATAATAATTTGTATTTGTCTCTCTTTTTACAGGTGTCTCACCATTCGGCATGCCCTATGCCCACCTGCCCAGCACGTTCTCCCTCCTGGGCCACTATCCCTCCTTCCCTGTCTCCTCTCTGTTTGGGGAACTGGGGGAGAGGGGCCTAGCCAGCCTCCCACCCGGTAAGGGATTTATGTCTATTTATAGATCAGTGTGATGAGGGAAGGGCTTTTATTGCAAAGTCCTCAAAAGTTGGGACTGCAAGAAGGCAGGGACATTTTTACATTGCAGGACTTTAAAACTTCTAAAATTGAAAGGTCAAATACCATGGAAATATGAAAGGGAGTTGAAAGTATTAAACAGCTTTTTAATTTTTTTTTAAATCTTTAATAAATCTGTAATCCTTCATTGGATATTTCAAATTTCTTTGCAGGCTCACTTCTAGGTACTGGCTTCACAAGCCCACTTCTCAATCTGGAGATGCCCCCTAATGGGGCCCCACTCTCAATAAAAATCCCAGATTTGGCAAAAGTCGAACTGTCAGACAAAGACAGTAAGATATTGGTCATCCTTTCTTTCCTAGTGATTTTTTTTTCAAGTTTCTTAGTTTTATGCTGTTGAAAATTAGTTCCACTGCTCCTTTATTTGATATTTTTAATTCACAATTTTTAAGGCTTTTTCTGAAAGAAATATATTTATAACATCTTTCTGTTTGTGAATTTTTGATTGATTTCTTCAAAATTTAATTTTATTTAATATTTAGCTGCAAAAATGATTCTGCTTATAATGTAGTGTAGCAGCCAAGATTTCAACCCCATATGCAACTGATTTGGTCTGCTTTCAATGAAATATTTCTCTTCTATTGTGTGGTAGAGAAAGTGATTTTGTTTGTATATGTATTTTGAATTATTTTTGAAGTTAAAAAATTCTTCTTGAAGGATATATTTTGATGCTTTATCTGTGTGCAGAACTGATGGTTGTTGTCTTGTTATGAGACATTTTTAAATTGTTTATGTTGACAAAGGACAAGGTATGATAAGGATCAAATCTGGTCCATAATTTTCTTTGAAAATAAAGCTAAGTAAAATTGTGATATTTTTTAAAACAAATACATGAAATTGCCTTGTAAAGAATTTTTTGCATACAAAGGAAAGTGATAGATTAAAACTGATTTTCAAATATTCTCATCAGTTTTGATACTTAAAAATATTTTCCAATAAATTTTCATCTTGCATTGAAAAGCACAAGAAACCAAATTTTTGATTTTCACATGTCTTAAAATCATTTCAAATTTTGAAACAAATTTATGGATTAATGAATTATGTTCAAAATTCCACTTAGAATGAGGGTCAAATAGGGCTTTTATCATACCATGCTCTTTTCTTTTCTTTATTCATTTTACTGCAATCATGAATTCTTTTTCCCCAAATACATACATTTATGTGTTTTTTTCATTTTACAATTTTAAGCTTAATCATCTTTGTTGTCAGTAAATATCTATTACTAACAGAGATAAAAATCTATTTAAAAAAAAAGGAAGTATTTCTTGCATGAGTGATAAAATGAATATACATATTCTATATAAGATGGTTAATTAAGTACCTAGTATGTAATTTTTTTTTAGAATTATCAGGAAAGCTCAGTTCTTCCAGTAAATCACATTCCTCATCCCCCTCCAAAGACACACCAAAGTCTTCACCAAAAACCATCACCAAGGCCACCACTACCATAGCAACAACCACTAGCACCAGCTTCAGCAACAGCACCAGCAACAGCAGAAAAACCAGCACCACGGTAACCAGCGGTGGGGAGAGTCTAATATCAGGAAAAAGCCTGCTGGCTGGACGCTCTCTGCTGGCAGGGAACAGGCTGCTGGCGGAGAAACTGAAGAAATCAAAGCTGTCGTCTGCTACCTCACCATCCCACACCGAGACCAATGGCACAACATCATCTGAATCTCCTCGTCTGATGAGTCCAAAAAGAAAGCATCCAAAGGAGGAAGAGGTAAATAAAGAGGGGATGGAGCATTGTATAAAAATACAATTATAATTGATTAGGGAGGACATTTTTAGCTTACTGGATAAAATGGTTATTGGACAATTTTTGAGTGTAATGATATACAGTTATTGACTGGGTATGAGGGCAACATATGATTTGTTGGACCTTCAGGTCCAACAAATCATATGTTGCCCGAATCCCAGTCTATAACTGTTTTGTTATACCCTTCACTGCTCACTTAAGATTGATCAATTTAATCAATAGACGCTATATTATCAATTATTTTATATGGAAAATTATGGCTTCCTCAGTAAATATATAACATCAAGCCGAGAAAGAACAAAATCAATTATATATCTATTGTATTACAAAAATCATTTATCACAAAACATACTCTTGCCTTCTTCCTTACCTTGCTGTTAACTACAATTCTTGAAGCTCTTAACTTCGGCTATTTTTGCGTCGCCGATATTGAACGATGATTAATTACTTGTGACGTAACAGATGAGTGACGTTGCGGTCTAACAATTCTTATGTAAGACCGGTCAATAGTGAAATTGTTAGACCGATGTAATAAACAGTTATTTTGTTGTACTTTTTATAAGTAATAAATATATAGAATGAAATTTATAAGGGTATAACAATATCTTTTGGTTCATTGCTTTCTGATGATCTATCTAGATATTCATGAAACAGACTAAATGTGAAAAAAAGAGTCGTAACTCTTCCAATTTTCAGGCAATCAACTCCATGATCAGTGTAAAAATTATTTATAATGTGAGATATAGCATAAAATAAAAATTTGATCCCTTTTTCAGGTGATTGAAAATGGAGATCATCATCCTAGTGAAGAAGACCATTCAGAGGAAGAATCTGTCGCCAATAAATCTGTCGTCAATGGCAACCAAGACGAAGAGGAGGAATCAATGGACCATGAATCTGAGAGTCCCAGAAGAAACAGCCAGCCTCCCTCCATTCACATAGATGGGCTGAAGAAGAAGTTGATAGCAGATCAGATACGACAGAGAGTACAGAACAAACCCATCAGGAGTGTGCGGCCATCCATCATGCAGCCAATGAAGCGTGGCCGAGGAAGGCCACCCAAACAGACACAGGCAGAGGCTGAGGAAGATGTAAGTAATGTAGTTTAAAGACTGGGAGATTGACAAGAATTGTGCCAATTTGATACAAAATGGCTGTTTTTTGACAAATAAGAAAAATATGTGAAAGTTTTCAGAGATACAGGGTATCGAAAGAAAAAGGTTAGCTAATTATCTAAAATACATGTATATTGCAGCCAAAAGATGCTGAACATTTAAAGGCACAACTGAATGCAACTCTGCTGAAACAAGAACTTCAACTGAAGAAACTGAGAGAGAAACATGAGAAAGAACAAGAAGCCTTATTGGTAAGATTTGTCCATAAAGACATATTTGACTCTTTGATCATGTTGATAAGGGAGATAATTCTCAAATTAATCACTGTATTTTCCTTGATGATTTAATAAATGGTTGTGGACTGTCCATGGAAATTGGCTGTTGTCTTTTTTTAATGTTTTCAAATGAAAGCTATGTTATTTACAGCAGAAGAACAAGAATGACCTTAAAGTACAACTGGAAGCAAACCTGAGAATTCAGCAGATGGAACACAAACTGATGAAGAAACAAAAACAACAGGAGATAGATCTGGCTCTACTGGTATAGATAATCTTTGATGTATAGTTAAATGAAAAAATTTACTCCATTAATGAATGTATACTGGTATTCATAAAAATTTGTGTATTTTCTATGACTTGAAATGTTTGTAAGGTAATCCTTCAAAAGTACCTGTGTTTTGGTTTGTTTGATTTCCCATTCAACCTGCATCCATTTACCCATTCAGCTGTATTGCTTGGATTTTTACAGGCATTTCAGGAATAGCATTTACTTCCATTCATTTTATTCTTCGTTGATGTTTCTCATGGAGTTTTGATGCTTTTTTACAGTATCAAAAGAAACAGCAAGAACTTTTGAAGCAAGGAGCAAAAGACAAACTGAAATACCAGCAAGAGAAGAGTGAACAAAAGAAAAAGGAACTAGAAGACCAGAAAAAGAAAGAGATTGAGACAACAATGAAAGTTCAGGAGCTCCTAAAAATGTCAGAGAATGAACGCAAAGCTCGAGCAGGCGGTGAAAAACCCAGCAAGGGTCGTCCATCAGCCTCTCTGAAAATCAACCAGGTAAATGGGGAATACATGTATTTAATTTTTCTTTGTGAACTTGGTTGGATAAAAAGAAGTTTTTGGATGCAGTAAAACATGGTAATAGGGAACATTGTATTAATGAATTCACATAATTAAGTGATTTTTCATTCTCTGTAGTTTTAAAAAGTATTGTCAACTTAATGGCTGATAAAATGAATAATGTTTAAGATAAATCAAAATTCTTTGTCCTTGGAACTTCACATAAGAGTCTTGTACTGTACTAGGTTTTAGTTTACCAGCTGAAAGGATGTTTAAATTGAAATATGATTTATCAAATGTAGCTGCTACAAGAGAAGAGAAATGAGGGGGCTTTGAAATCAGAAGCTGTGCCCAGTAACCAGATGTCCGTCGACGAGAAACTGGAGGCCAAAGTCCGAGCCATGTTGGAAGAAGAGAATTCTAACGACTCGGGCTCGGGAGAATTATCAGGCTCAGAGAGTGAGAATGAGAACCAGACGGGCCTGGACTCAATGAGTGAGATTTCAGACTCAACAATGGACCACAGTCACAGTTTTGAGGCAGGGAGCTCGGCTTCTAAAAGGAGTGCTGATGAGATGTCAGAGGGTGAGTGTTATGAGACTATTTGAACAGACTTACATTCTTAAAGGCTTGTCATATAACATTACATGTTTTTTGAGATGAGATTTTTTTTACTTAAAATCCATCCTGTGTTTAAGTGCTCCATTGTTTTTAGAGAATGCAGAGTTGCAAATCATTTGGAATACACAAATTTCAAATAAATACATTCTCACACACATGTACGTTTCATTGAGCTAATGATCAAAGGGAAGTAATTCAATAGAATTATATGGGGAAAAAAATTATGATATAAAAGAACTTATAAAATTTTGTTACAATTTTAGGTGGAGGCTCACCAACCAAGAAACCTCGAGTACAGATGGATGAGGCAGCCTTACAGATCCCTCTTAACAATGGCTTCAGACGCACCACCACTATCCACGCCATCGGCAAGAGGGGCTTCATCGGGGAGGTCCTTTACTATGGGCCATGTGGAAAGAAAATGAAAACTATTCCTGATGTTATGAGGGTAAAATTTAATTTAGAGAGTGGAAAATATAATTAGTAGACATAAGATTTATTACTTACAAGGAAATTCATGTATGGAGAGTTTGTATTTACACAGTATGGGTTATAGAGAAACATGAAATGTTTGTTTTCACACTGTCCTAATAACCTTGTATAATCAAGGACCGCATTAAATTTCAATGTACAAATCTGTTTAAGATTTAAATATTATAGCATAGACACTAAGATTTCTTTTCACTATATTTCAGTATCTTGAAAGAAACAATATTAAGGAGTTTGGAAGAGAAAATTTCTCCTTCAACACAAGAGTGAAAGTTGGACAATTCTTTGAAGGACAAGCAGGAACTGCGGTAAGTACTTGTATTTACATATGTATAATACAGGTAAAATTACATCATAATTATTATTTTATGCAGTCCCTCTCCCAACACCAACTCCCAATTACTAGTAACCTCCCCTTTGAACATGTAGGTATTTTAGATTTGATGGTTTATTTTCTTTATACAAGATGAACATACACTCTATAAATTCATTGGTCTGCAGTTCTTAGTAAGATGCAGGAGTAATTTCTCTTAACTTTAGCATATTCTATTATGATTATCATTTGAATTCTGAGCCATGTACTTCCAGGAGATAGTAAAGTTGAGTGATGAGCAGGTGGACCAGAGAATGGCCCTGATTGAGAGTAAGAGACAGAAGTTAATGAAGATAAAACAGATGAAGGGGAGCCGGCGGCAGGAGAAACAGAACAAACAGATCCAGCTGGCTAAACAGATGATGGAGCAGAAACTCAAAAAACGCATGGAACAACAAGGTCTGAGCATACAGAAATTGTTTTACTGACTACTTACTGAGTACTTACTAGTTAAATGACAGTCAAACCTCATAATCTCAAACTTGATGAGACTTAGAAAAAACTTCAAGATGTCTGAGAATTCTAGATATAGTGGGTAAAATGCTTGAAGAATAAGACATTGGGACTTCAAATTTCTATGATATTCAAAATTTCAGCTATTTGAGATATCAAAGTTCAGCTGTTTTTCAAATTTAGCTTTTATAATAATTTGTGAATTTCGATCTTTGTTATTTTAAGAAAGAAAACTTTGTGTTTCAAAACTTTAAATTGTATTTTAGCTTTAATTGTGAATTCTGAAATTAAACTTGTTAGCATATATGCTTGCACAATGGAAATTCTACTAAAACATTTGAATCTTTCCATAACTGACAGAAAAAAAAAGTGAAACTGTGAATGAGTGTCTTCTTTTAAATTCAGAGATGGCTAAACGTGCTGCAGAATTCAAGCTCCAGAAGAAAGCAGAGAAGCAAAAACAGAAGGACACGATCCATAAAATCAAGGAACTACGAGGTAGTGACCCTCCCGACCCTCCCTCCACCTCCACTTCTGACTGGCAATCACCGATGTATTGCCTACCTGACAACATCCTGTCATGTGACCCCAGTGCCTCAGGTCAGACAAAATCAGAATTGGCCTGTCCACCACTGCTTCCTGTGTCTATTGCTGCCTCCATCCAGTGCTTTAACAGATCTTTTTTTTTTGTTTGCTTGTTTTTTCGCTTTTTTAATAAACAAAAATATTGCAGAGGTTACTAAAATATTTTGAATATATATGCCTCAAAATTCTAGTTTTTTTTTTTTTTTTTTGCTTGGGTAAACAGGTAAATGCTTTTTATTATTAATACTCTGCAAGTTTTTTCTGTGCTTTTTTTTGAATTCCAAACTTCAAATTCCTTGCATAAGCTTTTGACAAACAGGTTGCTTTCTGATATTGTAAAATGCTTTTTTTTTCAGAATTAACACATTAACACGATGAAGTGGTTTTCTCTCTGCTTTAACTGAATTATTTTAAATCTAAAATCATCTAAAATCAATATTTCTAGCTTATGCAAAAATGGTGTTTTTTTCACCCTAATATATGTAGTTCTTGTGCTTTCTTTTCCGTAAATAACAGGGTGTAAATGTTTATGATGTAATGCATGAAAGCGAGATCATGAAAAAAAAAAATGAAAATGGTGATGGACAAAGTGAAAGTGAAACTAGGATGAGGCATAAGAAATATAATTGATTTTCAAATGCTCTCACTCTCAGACAAGATAGGAGAGACAAAAAACATTTTGTTGCCATTGTAATTTGTGTGCAGTTTCTGAAATGGAATTTTTCCTATTGCGTAAAGACCCTTTTGTTTTGTTGACTGAGCTTGTGGGACACATGATTGTTGGATGTCTTTGTGCTTTATGATGAGTGGCATGCTTGACTCATCACAGAATGATGCTTAAAAATCTGAATTTGATGACTTTTTACTTTTTTCTTCAGGTATTCATACCATGTAAAATAATTCAGTTTCTAGCTTATTTAATGATTCAAACAGTAGTTACAATGAGATAAATAATATCCCATTTATTTTAGAGTTTTATAGTACATTTCTAGTAAAAAATTAGAAAACTTATTATTTTATGAAAACCTAATTTATCAACACAATTTAATTTTTGCAACTGCCTTGAAAAGTTGAAACATTTCAATTTTATTTTATTTTATTTTAATTTTTTCATATGCAGCTGTTGAGAAGAAGAAGCAGAAGGAACAGTTACGAGCCTTTAGAGAGCAGGAGAAGCAGCAGAGACAGGAACAGATGAGGCTCGAGCGTGAGATACGAGCTCAGCAGATCTTGGAAGTGAGTACAGACTCTGTGTTATGTTAAGTCTTACTGTCAAATGCTCTGTGTGTCCTTCATATTTTAATAGCATTTTTACCTGAAATAATATCTCATGTTGATTGTGATGTTTTAATGGGACTAAGAAGGTGTTTTTCTTGTGTCCAATAATGAGTACAATTAAAGTGAAACATATCAACTCTGCTTAGAACAGACTATTAATGTGACTTTTTTTAAGATTGAGATAATTGTGAAATTAAAGCAAAGGAGATATACCACCTTAATGTCCTTTGTGAATTACTCTGATTGGCATCATATGGAATATCAAAAATATATCTAATTTCCATTACAAAAGCCAAATATGAAATAGGGTTTTGTATTCCAAGTACATGTGTATTTAAAATGTACACATGTAATCATATTTCAAATATTAATTTTGCCATTTTGCCAATGGAATGTGTGAGCTAAGTTCTTATGTTATTACATGTATTTTATCAATAACTCTGTGTAAATGACAATGGACAAAAGGAGTAATGATACTAAAATGATATTTTCATTAAAATTCATTAAATAGTCACCATATGGCAAACATTTTTGTCCCCCCCCCCCCCCACACACACACACAAAAGTTAAGTCTTTTTTACTTTCTCAATAATTTGATCTGTATGTAGAATGATATTAGGTTTCTGATGAATTTTGACAGGACTCCATTTTCTGGCAGATTTAGTTAAGGCTTTGTTACTTTCAGATGTGTAAAAAGATTGTTATCACAGCTGAGACTGCAGTATATTCATTACAGTTTTTATTTCTTTTATTTTTTAAGTTATTTTGTTTAATTTGTTCTTATTAAACTTTTATTTGTTTTCCCCTCATATTCTCTTAAACATGTATTGCTGTCACAAATTTGCCCTGGAGAGCTAAGCATTGTTGTTTCGTTTTCAGATGAATGTCATACAGAAAAAAAAAAATCTTTAGAGAAATCTGTAAAAAGTAAAAAGTGTGTATAATTATGTATTTTTATTAAAAAAGAATATTTGGCTTGATTTTTATCTGTTTTGAATATTTGTTACAGTCAAACCTTTTATGGTATCATCTTGAGAGAGTAAGTAGGACAACTCTGTAGATACCTATATTTGACAGCTAGTAGTTTCCTCCCTTTATTGCCCTCAGTATATATGTAGTGTATAAGGGCTGTTATCTATTTCTCGCTTTTATTATACATTTATAACCAGACCCTGTTAAAAGCATTATGTCTTTCTCTTTCAATGTAGTTTTCTCTTTATTTAAATCAAATTTTCTTGTATATTTATTCATGCATTTTAAGAGCTTGTAGTTTTGAACATGAATTGGCAATGTCATTGTATGTTCAAATATTGGCTTTCATTATCTATATGATAGCTTTTGATAAAGTAGTGCTTTTTTCTTGTCTGTATTATTTTACATATAGAATATAAGAATCTGTTAAATATACATATATATTTAGTTTGGGACTTAAACAAAAAAAATCCCACTTGTATGCAAAGACACAGTTGACATTTAACATAGAATACAAAAATACACTTATATAACTTATATACACCTTCTGTATCTACTGTTATTATATATCGGAAGGAAATTGTTATGGAAAAAACACTGCAGCTAAAATGAAATCTCATGTATCACCATGCACACAGTCTATGCAATATATACCGTACATGTAAAAAAAAAAGTTCATTTGAAGAAAACAAACAAGGACTTGCTTGACTTAAAATAATCTGCACTATAGCTGTAATAGTTCTGGATTTTTTTTTTTACATTAAATTTATGAAGGGATAGATTGCAAATTAATGTGAAATTGTTTTATAATGGTTTCATTTATAAAGTGTAAAAAAGTAATGAAATCTTTATGATTTTTTTTTCTAATCTGTACTGCTCAGCTTTGTTCTCTATGGCAAATTTGTTACCATATGAGATTTAACCCATGTTGAGTTTTTCTTTTTTAATTGCCACATGCATATGTACATGTATATTTTTTTCCTTGAGTTGCAATTGTATGAATGTCAGAACTTTTCCTTGAATTTTTTTTTTCATATACCTATAAATTTTTTTTTAAAACTGAGCTGTTTTCCTCCTAATCTTTCACATTTCTTTAATAAAGATTCACCAATTTTATTGAATAGAAGAAAAAGTAGTACAAACCTTTATGCTCAAATGTGAAGAAATGCCATATACTCTAGCTTTTTGAGACAAATTAATGTACTATATACGTTCATTTCATTTTTTTGCCAGGAAAGGGAAATGAAACGACACCAAGCCATCATAGTCAAGGAACAGGTGTGTTTACTTCCTTGAACATTTATTTAAAAAATGAAAATACACAAAAAAATTGAATGAACACTTTTTTCTATATCCTGAATAATCACTCCTACACATCTATATTTAGGAGAGAGAGCGTAAGCGACACCATTTCATGTTGGTGAAAGCAATAGAACAACAAAAGAAACAGGCAGTAAGTTTTAACTTGAGCTTTTCATAGGTATGACAAAAAGTCCAGGCATGAAGGAGAAATTTTCATTTGTAAAATGGGGGCAATATATGGGGGTTTGGGCCACTGGTATTCTGTCATGTACAAGTAGCATATACCTGGTATTAACAAAAATGATTGGAATGGGAGGAGAGGGAAGATCCCCCTTTTCAGATTCTGCAGGCTATAACATTAGATATGTAACTGTAAATTCAGTTTTACATTCCTCATTTCAGAAAGATAAACTGAAAGAGGACAAGATGATGGAGAAGAGGTTACATAGAGAGAAGAAGATGGTAAATATTTTAGGGTTCTATCTCTTGAAATACATATTAACTTATAGTTAACTAATAAGTAATGAAGTTGTAATGTAAATACAAGTGTATATATATATATATGTCTGTGTTCAGGGTCCAATCTCTTGAAATTATACATGTATGTTATAAGTAGTCTTGCCTTTGAATGCATGTATAGCCTTAATTGATCAAGTTCGGATTTGCATGTAAATGTAAAGTTGAATGTTTGTGTGATTTCAGGAGCAGAGACGCCTGGAGCTACAGCTGGCTAGAGAACTGAAGAAACCTGTAGAAGACATGGAGTTAAAAGACCATAGGGTAAGTTAACGAATATCTACTGATTTATTGCCATAGAAAATTGCTACAGAAAAGACAACTTCTCAATTTGACCCATGTAAAAAAAAATTTGACTTCTTTTAGACACTGTTTTACAAGCTAAGTGAAAGGAGACGATGTCTAAATTTATTTAATCTGATACTGGATTTTACATAGCTGTATGTGTTGTAGGCATTGCCTGACTTTGGGAGAATACCTGGATGTAAATTGGATGCTGTGGCCTTTGGGGATATTTTGATGGTTTTGGAGTTTGTTCATAATTTCAAGGATGCTCTAGGTTTTGGTAGGTATCAGTCAAAAAAAAAACAAATACTTTGAAGCTTTAAAAGAGGTAAGTTGGCCTTTATAAAAACTTACTGGTAAGAAATTTTTTTTTTTTAACGGATAGAACATAGGAAAGTTTTGCAAATTTTCAAGCATGCAGAGATTCCATAAGAAAGTGTTCCACGATCCCTTTATAAGCTGTGTGAATGATTGGCTTGTCTTGTTTAACTTTTAAATGTTATTTCTTAGATGAAGATACCCTGCCCACACTTAAATCCCTCCAGGACCAGGTGATGTTTGCCACAGAGGAGGACGGGGAGAACTACATGGCCTTGACCTGTCACCTCCTGAAGTACGCTGTGCGGGAACCAGGGGTACCCAACCCCAGAGAGGTAATGGAAATGTGTATTTTAGTACACCGATTGACACAAAGCCTGTCAAATTACTAATTGATTTGTAGTAAATTTTCTTGAGCAGTTGACTTCACTCTACAGATTTTTTTGCATATTATTAATACTTGTAAATGTATTTTAAAATATTTCTAAGGTGCAGATAATTGAGGAGTAAAATGGGAATATAAAATGCTTATATACATACTTGTGATTTGTTTGTAGGCTACCACCTGCCTTGGTCAGAAAATAGCAGATGTACCTATCACTGAATCTGTAGTGTCTGAGATTCTTAAGATCTTTATCATTGCAAGGAATGGGAAACCAAACGAAGTAGGTCACAATTTAGCTGATATCAAACATTAAATTTATAAGATTTTAACTGAATTTAAAAAAAATATGATTTTCTGGTCTTAAATTTAAATTTAAGAATTTTAATTTTTTTTTTAAGTACAATTTAGAAAACAAAAGAACATTCACACGGACTTGTTTTAAATGCCGAGTACATCTTTAATAAAATTCTAAGAATTTTAATTTTATGATTTTTAGATAAATTTATGAAATTGTAATATCATGATTTTTTTTTAATTTTTAACATTAAGTAGACTTTTTTTATGCAAGTCAGGTAATTCATGAACATCCTTTGCTGTAACTAATTTCTTTTCAACAGAAATTTTATTTGGTGTGATAGTTTCTTTGCATTGCTAATAAATTGATTTTTTATTCCAGATGAGTGATTGGTTGAGTTCTAAACCACTAGAATCACTGACAACATCTCAGAAAGCCTCAGTTTTAGCATTCCTTGTCAATGAGTTGCTGTGTGGAAGGCACATTGTCTTGTAAGCATTGCAGGACCAAGAGAATGTCATGTCTTAAACTTTTAATTAATAAACTTGAATTTTAATTTTTAAATCTGTATAAGTACACTTTACATTTTTGTATAGAATTGTTAAAAAAAAATTAACTGGATAAATAACTGAAACAAGAATTGGTGTTAAGTGATTGATGTGCTGTAAAATGAACCTTGGCTATATGAAGTGTAGTGTGCCTTTTACATCCCTATAGTAATGAATATCAACATATTAATGTTAACAGGGAGATAGAGAAGCAGCTGGAACACATGGGTGAGATACGTAGAGACAAATGGGTAGTGGAAGGAAAACTCAGAAGGTGGGTCCTCTTAAAGACTTTTATATAGAAGTACAGAACTAAACATTAGAGGAAAAGGGACATTGTTGTTGAATTTATTGTAATGAAATGCCTCTACTTTTGACAGACTGAAGGCTGTTCAGAATAAGAAGTTTAAGAGTGTACCTAAGCCCCCACCACTGGACAGTGAGAGTACGTCACAGATGACCAGTAAGAAAGGGAGTGATGAGGAGGATGAAAAGGAGGAGGAGAGTGGGAACGAGAGTGGAGGGGAGGATCAAACAGGGGCCAATGAGGCAGATGGAGAGGTAAGAGTAAAGGGGACAGTATTTTTTCATGAAAAATATAAAGGTAATATCAAGAGAAGTGCAAATTGCAAATTATTGATAATTGCTGATTGCTGGCTCTGTCAAGATCTCTGGACATTTACTCTTGTTTTTCTGAAATAGGATGAAGAGCCCACATCATATGAGGAATGTGAGAAAGAAATTGATAAGCTTCAAAAGGTAAAATATTTTTGGATATATTCTTAGCTTCTATGGAGATGTATCAAGGAAGAAAATGAAGTCTTATACTGTTACTTTATTAAAAACTCTTAAATTTTCAACAGTCTTTGCCATCTTCATTTCAGCAACATGCTCAGTGTCGCGCAAAAGTGTTCAAGGCTTCACATAAGGTTCGTGCAATATCTCTGGGTCAGGATCGATACAAACGCCGCTACTGGGTGCTGCCTACCGCAGGAGGAGTGTATATAGAGGGGCAGGAGTCAGGGTACTTTGATGAAGAAATCCCAAGTAGCTGCATGAATGAAGAAGTGAAAACGGAAGTGAAAGTAGAAGTGAAACAAGAAGTGAAAGAGGAAGTGAAGGAAGAAATGAAAGAGAAAGTAAAAGTAGAACCGGTTGAAGTGAAAGCAGAAGTCAAAGAGGAAGTGAAGGAAAGAAAGGATATATTGAAGATTCCTGTGTACAAGAAAGAAATTAGAAATGAACATAATGAATGTGAAGTGCAGAATGTGATAAAATCAGAAGGATCCATCCCAGAAAAGTGTGATTCCAATCAAAATTCCAGTAAATCTGACCAAAGTCTAACTAAGCCATCAGAAAACATATCAAACTCTGTCAAAACAGAAAACTCAGTGCCCAAGTGTAATGGAGAAGAGTTCTCAATCCCATCTACCTCCAGGTGCAATAGTGCAAAGAGTGAAAGCTCGGACACAAATTCCCATCTACAAAATGGTTCCAGTAGCCAGCCTGGTCATTCTAAGTCAGACAGTGACATTAAACCCATCATCAGTAGTGCTCATGCCTCCCCATTGATATCCCCCTACCCAGCTGCTCCCTCCCCATTCTTTTCACCACCCATCTCAGGGGCCAGTCCCTCACTGCTAGGGGGCATGTCATTGTCATCTGCATCTTCATCCACATTATCATCCACACCACTGCCAGCTCATCAACAACCAAAGTCCTCTACACCATCCTCAGTCGACGCCAAGCATAGCTTCCTCAGCATAGATTCCTTACTGAAAAAGGACAGTACGTCAAGTAATCCGTCACCCTCCAGCAAAAGCAGTCTCTTCCCGTCCCCCATGTTTCCACTGGTTCCAATGACCCCAGACCAGATGATCAAGTCGTTCAGTGAGAATTCTAGCCAGAAGCCCTGGTTCAGCATTCTGCCCAGACTTCCTTGTGATGACTTGTCCATGACACATGGGTCTTCCCAGATGTCGATCCTACCTAGTCCGTTCCAGAACTCATTTTTATCGCCAATGTCATTTGGTTCTTTCCCTGTGCAGAGCCCCTCATTCTCATCTTTCAATGTGTCGCAGTTGTTTGGGACTTCTGATGTCAGTGGAATGTCTCTCAACTCTACAGCACAGTCCAGTGTTAATGACTCGTTTAAGATTCCAAACACTCCAAGGTCAGAAACGGTGACCCCAGCCACCAGTATTCTGGAACAGAATGAGTCCCTCCTCTCAGAGTTACAGGGAGAGGCACAACCCATTCCTGAAGGTAATATTTAAATTTTGTATATGATCAATATGATTTCAATGAAAATTGACTACGAAATGTCTGTGTTCCCTTCTTAAAGATTTTTTTCATGTATGGGACTGTAATAATTTTTTTTCCACAAGTACTTGAAAAATCAATACCCATTTTATGAGAAATGTTATAAACCCAGCGGATTATCCTTTCTATGTATAAGATTTTCATTGCTTATAATTTAATTTTCATTCATTTGATGTAAGAAAAAAAATGAAACAAAATGACTTCAATTTGTACAAAATTTGAAAAGTACTTGATATGAATCATTGTGAAGGCAAAAACGATATAAAGTAAATTTTTTATCCAATCAAATACAGCGTTACAACCAGAATTAAATTATATGAATGTAAAATAAATGAATTTAAGATCTCCAAAGACATTGTTTTAACAGAGGTCCAGAAAGGGTGGTGGAAGATTTCTGAGGAGAAGCAAGTGCAGACAGTCCACAGGAATCTTCATCCGCGAGGAATCCGAGAGAAATCCCTCCAGAAGTCACTCCAGAAATGTCTGGAACATGCCTGCTCCTCCTGCAAACAGGACAACAAAGAGGGTAGGGAACTCACTTAAGTACAGTACAACTCGTTTAGTACTAACATGAATATTGCGAATTCATGGAATTCAGCGAAGTTATCTTAGATCCCCAGCTATGTAAATTTAATGAATTCCTTTTACAGATATAATGAATTACGGATATAGCAAAGTAATTTCACAGGTCCCGGCGACGTCGTTATAACCAAGTTTTACTGTATTAAATTTACAGTAATAAATTCATATATTTAAAAAAACTTAATGTCTATAATCCAGAATATTTTTTAATCCTACCTATCTCTCTGGAACCAGAGGTATCAGAAGTTTTACTGCCCTGGTGCTTTCAGAATTCTTCTTAAATGATGATCTGTACATGGATATTCTGTATTTTTAAAATACATTGCTAACTTTACATGTACTGTTTTCAGTGTACAGTATGGTGTCTGACACAAGTGATGATGAGGAGAAAGAGGACAAGACAGAGGAGAAACAAAAGGAGGAGAAAGAGGACAAAAAGGATGAGGACACAAAGTCCTCAGAGGACACCATATCAGAAAAGAAAGGTTGATATCTATGTGTTTAGATGATGTTATTAGAATATGTGAATTTTTTGTTTTACAGAGGACACTTTCATAAAGAAAATGTTTTGTAAGTGTAATACCAGTAAGTTTCTTTTTTATAGATGAAGATAGAGAAGATGGAGGTAGAGACATCCATTGATCCAGAGGAAGAGAAGATTCGGTTGGCTGACCTTAGTCACCAGGTGGAGCTTCAGGCATTGGAGGAAGTAGAGAATCTAGAGGAGAGGATTGCCTCAGCCAGCCTTCAGGTCAAGGTCAGTAGCAATAATATTCATTGCAACAGACACATATTCAGAGTATCATAGTATGGTTTTTAGAAGAGAATAATACTGTTTCAAATCTTGTTTGGAGAAAATGGGGCACAAGTAGAAAAATAACTACTTTGTATTTTGATTCAAATGATCGCCTGTTAAAATGGAGAGTGTGATGGTAGCAAATGCTGCATTTTTTTACTGTGAAAATAAGAATTTTTAATATACTTCTTATATTACATTTCAGGGTTGGAAAGTACCCCAGAGAATCTCAGATGAGGGTAACATTACACTTGTCGACAGGTTTAACCATGAGAAGCTGGGACCCAATGAGAAATACCCACTGGATGCTGCCAGGGATAAACTGGCTCAGCTAGAACCCAATATAGAAAGACGCTACCTCAAACCCCCACTCTGTAAACAGTAAGTAGTAACAGGGTGCTTGTGTAGAGAGGGATAGAGAAGGAAACAATTGTAAAGAAATCAAATGAAAATATCCACTTGGAAAAAAGGTTAAATGCTTGAAATGAGGAAGGTCAACTGATTGTAGTTTTATTTGATGAAAAAAAAATCAACAAAATTGATAATATTGTTGTTTATTCAAAATACAAAAATAAAATGTTATGTAAACCGAAACTCGCGAATACATTAATCAAAAACCTGTAAAACGTAAAGCTCTTTCAAAGATATAACTTTCACTGTAAAAGTATTTGAAAAGGAAATGCATGTAGTGTTTAAGAACCTATGGTAATCTGTTCACAGTTTTACATTCATATAAAAAATATAAATTGCCTGTAATGTATAACAGTGTACTATAACTTGTTCACAATTCAACATGTAAGCTTTCCTTTATACAGCATATGCATGCTGTATATTTGTGTTTATTACATAAAAAAATAAAACTGATTCAGATGTTGTTTCAAAAAAATCATTTTTCATCCTTTCTCAATCATCTCCAGAGTACAGATAAACCTGGCTAACCTGACAGCTAACACGAGTCAGAATGATGAGGATGAGGACGACGAGGGTAAGCCCTCTGACCCCGTACAGGTGTCCCAGGGGCTCATGTTGTGGAGGAACGCTGTCACCAAGGCCGCCAGCCCCGCCCAACTGTCTCTGTGTGTCTCCCTCCTCAACAAGTCCATCTCCTGGGAAAAGTCCATCATGAAAGTGGTGAGGAACAAAATCTCTCAACAGAGTATTGGGTGTAAATGCAGTTTACTTTGTATGGTTAATAAATAACTGATTTGAAATTTACAGAAAAACAAATCAAGGAATAAAACCCTAAAAATATTAATAAATGCAGTGTAATTAAGAAAGCTTTACTGTTATGGGAAAAGTTATTTATTTGTGATTATATGTATTCATGGTATTGATAAATTCATATGTTATCTATTGTGTTGACAGTTGTGCCAGCTATGTCGTCGAGATGATAACGAGGCTCAGCTCTTACTCTGTGACGGTTGTGACCGCGGGTACCACACCTACTGCTTCAAGGTTTATATCTTATCTAACAATATTTGGACAAATAAAAACATGACACTTGTTGAATGGATTTCTTTACTTTGATGGGTTTCATAAGCTTGTGCATGCAATATACTAAAGTGGAAATGTTTTTTTTTCTTTTAGCCAAAGATGGAAAATATTCCAGAGGGAGACTGGTACTGTTATGAATGCATATCAAAGGTAAGGAACTCAAACATTACCTTGTGAAAAATTTGCTTAGGAACAATTGCTTTTAGATTAATGAGGCTTGACTGTACACACTGATTATGAAGGTTAAGGCTTTATTGTCAACTTTTGTTCTTCTTGTCTCATTAGGCCACTGGTGAGCCCTGCTGTGTGGTATGTGGTAAAAGAATGGGCAGGATTGTGGAGTGTGACATGTGTCCCCGTGCCATTCACCTGGACTGCCTAGATCCTCCCCTACCTCGCATGCCCAGGAAGTGGGTGTGTCCAGCTTGTGCTGTCAATCAGGTTAGAACTCAGATTCCAGCTTTAGAAAAAAATCAGCTGTATATTTAATTCTACATTTTTCCCTTCACCAACAACAGTTTTTATGTTAATATATGAGAAAGGCAATCAGAGATGTGTAAATACATGTAATGTGAATTTTTTCTGCAATATCCCTGATGCACAAATTTGAACCACTTTCGAATAGGGTCCAAAGGGAAAAGGAAGGAAGAGTCCCAAAAAGAAAACTAAAGATAACAACACGTCAGGGAGAGAGAGAAAGGACTCTGATGCTGGCAATAGATCGGCCACAGAGAGTACCCCCTCAGAGAAGCCAGAGAAAAAGCGAGGGAAGGATCTGGAGAAGAAGAGACAGGCAGCAGAACACTCGGAGGACATGACTGTGTGCAGGTATAACAAAACAACCAGGTTATAGGAGAATAAGGCTTAATGTGATTTTAAATGGAATTTTTCTTTTTTTTAATGACATTTTACTAGCATTAAATGAAGTGAAAAACACATAATCTGACATATTGATAATGAATTCTCAAATTTACAAGGACTGAAATTGTTTGTTCCTGAAACTTTGCTGAGTTTTTATAAAACTATATACAGTATGGGATATTTAATAATAATCAAATACATGATTGAAGTGAAATAAAAATTAATGAAAGAGAACTATCCCTTTAGCAGAGTGTTTTTGTCCTTAAATTGTTTGGAGTGACCAAACATGGTACAGCATAATAAATACCGCATAAGTGGAAATTTTAGCGCAACGTAAAATTTAGCGATTTCTATCTAAAATTTGGGATTTTATTTTTAGCGAGAAGTCATTTTAGCGATTTTAAAATGCTAACTAAAGAAGCTATTACAAGTAATACGCTATTAATATTTAGCAATATTCAATTTTAGCGATGTCAGCACCCTTGCTAATAATGCCAAAATTAAATCCTCGCTAAAAATTCTACTTATATGGTAATTTTGGCATTGTGATAATTTATTCTTTTGTAAATAGAAGAGGAACTACCGGTAAATAAGAGAAGATAATTGTTATTTAAAAAAAATTCTTGTATGAAGGAATCATTGTATGTATTTCAGGCTGATTTTGACGGAGATGGATAAACATGATGAAGGATGGCCTTTCTTAAAACCTGTCAACTTCAAACAATTCCCAGCATACAAGAAGTACATCCGACAACCAATGGACTTTGCCACCATGAAGAACAAACTCAGGGATAACCAGTATGTATTGAAAATAATGGGTAGAAATTTTGTGGGTTAAGAGAGATGTAATATGTTCAGCTGATCTCATGTATGAAGACAAATCTACTTTTACTTCATGGGTCCCCATGGATCATATCATTTTATACAGAAAATCTCTTTTCCCCTTTAGGTACAAGACTCGTGGTGACTTTGCAGCAGACGTCCGACTGATATTCAATAACTGTCAGACCTTCAATGAGGACGATTCTGAGGTGGGCCGGGCTGGACACAACATGAGAAAGTTTTTTGAGGCTCGATGGAAACAGCTGATGTTGTCCGCCTCTTCTTCACCGTCGTCAACCAATAATGAGGAGAAAATGGAGGAGGGCGGGGACTAATTAGACGTCGTCAACAACCATTCGTTTTATTTATTCCTTTTTTTAAAGAAAAAACACTTCTTTTCTTATGCAAATTCTATTTATGATTTCATTGCAGCTATCAACACAAATCTTATTATATACTGATGTTGGCAGATTTTTTGAATATATTTATGATGTTGTGAATGTTGTGAAGAAAGAAATAAGTGTCTTAGAACTTTTAATAACCTCAGAATTTACAATTGTAGTGTGAACCTGATCTTGTTTTTGAATTCTATTTAACTAATGACTGGAAACAATTTTTAATTGTGGACTTTGTAATTCTTTTGTAAATAGAATTAAAGGTAATTCTGGAAATTGGCATTTGCGTCAGTTAGTTATGTATTTTCTGTGTCTTACAAATTCTCTGGGTTTTTCTCTTTCTCTCTGGGAAGAAGATAATGTGATACCTCAAGACAAACCTGTGTTCTTTTTAAATGCTAGAACTTCATATTCCCTGGACATTCAGTTTTATGAGCTCTCCATTAATTAGAAAACTAATTTTAAGTTTTTCAAAAATAACAATCTGAGGAAAAGAAGAGAACTTACACTGGAAAATAAGAGGTAAAGAAAAAAATTAAACTTGGTTGAAATAAGAATTATTTGGGTTGTGATTAAACATGTCTCTTAATTATCTATTCAGATTACCAGTAATAAGTTTTTCTGGTTCATTTTGATTTATTTTAAGATCAATATTTGGACATTGTAGTCAGATAAGATATTATTTCATTGAAATTGTTCTGGTTAGTTTTCATTATTTATCAGTTTTGAGATAGCAATAATTTACTTGAATGTAGTGTTTGATTTTTTATTTATTGAAAAAGTTTTTTTGAAAAGAGGAAATCTGTATATTCTTCATCTTTACCGGTACATTTGATAGGACCACCTGCTGCAAAAATCAACTACAACAATTCAACATTAGCATAATTTTGTCTCTAGTCCCTAAAACCATTTTTCCATTGGGTCCATAAGCATCATTCAAACAAAACAGAACACATTCCAGTGAAAACCATTGGCTTCACAATCCCTGATAACATATCACAGTGCTTCAGAACAGTTGGCAATTACACATTTTAGTCATATCAATTCATCTATTATGTGTTGTGTCACTTACTTTTGTTAATTAATGCACCATTTTCATTAAAGGAATTGTATGTTTTCAAAATAAGAAAAATTGGCATGTTTCAGATATTGTTTTTAACTCTCCAAGTTTTAAATTATATGTCTTTTTTTATATGTTGTTTATTTAATATCATCGTGAGGTTAATTAACCAATGCATTTTGTAAGCATTTGACTTTTTCCTCTTGCACAAAGTGATTACAAATATTTCATAAGAGAGCACACATTGCTTTTGTAGATTGTAACTGTGTTGTATAAATCTCTTTAAATAATTATAACCAGTTATGTGTTGATGTAAAGATTTGTTAAATTAATATCTTTCAAATCAATAAAATTGTAATACTTAGAACAGTTTATGTTTGTTGATTAATTTTTCCATGAAAAAAAACAACCATGACCAATTGTTATCTCCCTTGTTGAAATCACAGGAACTGAAATGCAAAACAGATTCCAAGTTACAATCAGAGTAGATGGGTCCAATTTATATTTCATTTGAAAACATAGGTAATCAGAGATTACAGAGCTCACCTCAACGAATGTTGTCTTTAAGTAAGGCAAAGTCACACAATTATATCTAAAAATGCAAAATTTATGCAATTTTGATCTGATACATTGGAATAGACCTATATAAAAACTTCAAACTAGTTCTTCATCATGAAAACATAATTAAAATCCAGCATCTGAAGCAAATTTGAGAGTTTTCATCCTTTGATGCATCATTTGTGCAAGTTTGGTTTATATAAACCTTATAGTATCTTGATAATAGACCTGCACCCATAACTTTTACCTGGTCCATTATCTGGAAAATGTATGTCAAAATCAGCATCCAAACCAAGTCCATTAGTGTGCATCCTCAGATGTATCATCCATGCAAGTTTGCTCAACATAGGGCTCATAGTTACTTGGAAATGAAACCTGCATAAAAAACTAACCTTTTCACTCATCCAGAAAATGTAGGTCAGATTCAGAATCCGATGCTGGCCTGGTAGAATGCATCCTTAGATGTATCATCCATGCAAGTTTGGTCATAAAAGAGCTCATAGTTACTTGGAAATGAATCCTGCACCAAAAACTTTAACCTGTTCACTCATCCGGATAATGTAGGTCAGATTCAGCATCCGAAGCAAATCTGGTTGTATGCATCCTGAGATGTGTCATCCATGCAAGTTTGGTCAACACAGGGCTCATAGTTACTTGGAAATGTAACCTGTACCAAGAAATTTAATCTGTTCACTCAACCGGAAAATGTGGGTCAGATTCAGCATCCGAAAAAAATCTGGTAATATACATCCTTAGATGTATCATCCATGCAAGTTTGGTCATTAAAGAGCTCATAGTTACTTGGAAATGAATCCTGCACCAAAAACTTTAACCTGTTCACTCAACCGGAAAATGTAGGTCAGATTTAGCATCCATAGCAAGCCTGGTAGTGTGCATCCTTAGATGTATCATCTATGCAAGTTTGGTCAACATAGGGCTTATAGTTACTTGGAAATGATCGAGACTGCACCAAAAATGTTAAGGTCATATGCAACGTAGTTTCAATTGAACTTTTATTGGGTTCTTCCCTGGAGTTGAAGAGTTCCACTAAATGAAGGGCCTGTGTGCAATATTTTTAATCTCTATATATGGATTTGTACACCTCTTCTTAAGCAATTTTTGATGGAAAAATTCTGGAATTTATGTTTAGTAATTTTTGTACATTTTTCTTTGAATAATGCAAAAAATTTCAAAATTTGATATCTTTTCAAACCTCCTGGTAACGCGTGCTGATTTTGTGTCTAAGAACATGTTATGGTATTAAAAGTTTAAATTTAGAATATCTTGAAAAATTATCAGTAGGTAACACACCCTATTACCGGCAACTGTGACAACCGATGCAACTGTGACAACAGACGGAAAAGTTATCAATCAATATGACAAAGACCTAATTGATATCATAATTTTAACATTCATTTACTTTCGTTTGGTGGTTTCCCGTGTTGATATAACCTTAAACTATTTTTCTGTTGAATATAAAACAATTATTTCTTTTTGAAACAAAATAAGAACAGAATAAAGCTAAATTTCAATCGTTATTCAAGAAAAATTGGTTAAACTCAGCTTATAAAATAAAAACTACTACTCTGCGGTCTTATTTCTTGTTGTATATAATTAATTTAGACTCTCTACACCTTAACTTTATAATGTGGATGGACTTTGTTGTTTAACAAGTGTGCTGCAAGTGTTTGATTTTGATGGGTCAAGACATTTTGGCTGTCGTGAACAACAGATGTTCGTTTCTGTGGCAAACACTGACGACAGATAATGGCAATCGGTAACACATTTATTTTAATCTGGATTTCAACTTTTAAAACGTTTTTTTCTTATCAAGATCAGTGACAAAAATATGACTAGTTGTCAGACATCTCTATACATTATACAATTTATTATTTCAGAAGATGATTGTCTATCTAAGAACGAAATATGATCTCTCTGCAAACATTTGCTACAAGTCTTCAACATACATTGATGCAAACTTGCTACAAAAACATTGCTGCAAATGATCCTTTGCTGCAACGAAGCTAAAGAAACCATAACAAACTTTTAAAACCTTTGTGTTTGCAGCAAGTTTGTCGCTTGTTTTGACAAGCTTATAGCAAACAGTTACCCTAGCTGCAGATCTGTAGCGTTATGGTTTTATATGGTTATATGGTTTTATGCAAAAAAGATGCAATTTACGGCGCAATATTTTTTGCGCTCTTTTGGGGAGAATTTCTCCACTTTCTAGCATTGGTTAATCAACTACCTTTCACTCCCTAACTATAGACACATTATATAGCCAATATGTATACCGTATAAGTGGAAATTTTAGCGAGACGCAAATTTAGCGATTTCTCCTTAAAACTGGTATTTTATTTTTAGCGAAAAGTAGTTTTAGAGATTTATATTGCTCACTTAAGAAGCTATTACAAATAAAACGTGATTAATTTTTAGCGATATTAAATTTTAGCGATCCCAACACCCTCGCTAATAATGCCAAAATTAAATCCTCGCTAAAATTTCCACTTATACGGTATTTTATCTACCTCCCAACAATTTACAGTTTTCTCTACAGGCAATAAACTCGCTAGAAGTGAATTTTCAGCAATCTAACAAATAAGTTTAATCAAGTGAGTTTATCACTTGTAGAGACGACTATAAAGGGTTGGGAGATGGATAAATTATGAAGATTAGTTAAATAATGTGCCTAGAATTAGGTATTGAAGATTAGTTTATTGAACGATGCTGGGAAGTGGAGGAATTTTCTCTCCAAAAGAGCGGAGAAAATATTGCGCCGTAAATTGCACCTTTTTTGCATTACGGGATATGTAGCGTTATGGTCAAAGAAAAATATATAAAACCATAACGCTACAGATCTGCAGCTAACAGTTACCCATGCAAAAGAGGTTTACCGCTGGTTTTAACCTGCTGCCAATATTATATTTTTTAAAGAAAGATATGAAGATACTACATGTAGTAACGTTCAGTGTTTAAGCTCAAAACTCCATTAAACAATACAAAATGGAGCAGAAAAACGGGAAATTCTAAAACATAGAAATGGGCACGACCCGTCCCATGCGTGGAGGAGTGATCACCACCTGCCAAGTTGTTTGCTTTATGTCATGATCGAAAAAAAAAAAAAAATCATTCGACAATTCAGTATGTGCAAATGATGGCCCCAAAATATATGGGGTAGAGGGAGGAGTCAATCAGCATTTGAATCAATGAAAAAATTTATTTGCTGACAGGGACATTCTGTAGAAATAAAGAAATGATGACTTAAAAACAAGATTGTTGATATTCTTCTTTCGTCAATTTGTTTGTCAATTATTTACCTCATTCTAGAAATTTTAGAAAATCCTGCGTATAGCATGCTTTTGCGTATCGAATCAACAGAGAGTTAAACAACACCCTGTATGTATGTGATGAACGTAGTTTCCTGCATAAGTAAGGGAAGTTGACGATTGAAAAGTTATAGTCATTACTTTTATATTAAAAAAAAATTAAAACAAAACCATATCTTATCAGCCAGACGTTGTGTGATATCTACAACTTCAATTAAAATATTTCAAAATGGCGATTTCTTTGTTGACCTAGGTACAATCTACATTTCATTGGCTGGTTTGACTTGTTTACTGTCATGCGAGCTTCCTGCAAACCTTCGGTTTGTCAGATTTGATGTTTCCAACGAATTTGTTGCTGCTGTATAAAGAGGCATGTATGTTTCTTGCAATGTTCCTGCAAACATTTTGAGTTCTTGCAAGATAATATAGCAATAGTTGTAATGTCGGCCGAAACATCGCAGCGAGCGACAATAATCTTCAAGAAAACTTTTCCTGTGTACATTTTTGTTTGCTAAAGTCTGCAGCAAACATAACAGTTTCCTGAGGAATGCCAAAATTAGCAATTTTAAAAACCTAAGTTTATAACTACATAAAACTTGTAAATAAAAAATCACTTTTAAGTACTTTACTATGGTCCTTGATATGTTACAGTATTAAAAAAAAATGTTTAAGTATGAGAAACTGATCCTTTTTGTTCTTTTTAGTTTTTTCATAGGCAAATATTTTCAGTCTGTGTCAGATTTTTGTAAATTGTAGAGATTTAGATTAAATAAACTTCATTATTAAATAAAATATCAAATAAAATTCTGATACAATTGAGATTTGATTTTTAACATTCCGCCTTATCCCCCATCTTCTTTACGAACACCACTGGGCCGTCTTATTTAAACATGTTCATGTTGATTATCGAAGTTATTCAGTAGCTGCCTATGGCAACCATGCACGGGTACTTGTGGAGAGGAATAACCCCCCCCCCCCCGTCCGAGGGGCATATCCATAAATTCCTTTGATAGCAAGTACCATACATTTGACCAATATTGACAGCCAAAATATGTCTTGACTTAATTTGAAGCCTACTAGTATCAGGATACAGCTAATTTGTACTTGATCAAATTTTGTATCCACTGTTTCCGATTGCCGTATTTCGTTTTAAATCTGCTGTCATTGTTCATGTTGTTTGCCTCGTCTGTTGTACCTGATAGCCAAAATGATTTCACCAAACAAAATTAAACTCTTGCGGCGCTATTATTAAACAACAAAAATTATCCATATTTTAAAG